AAAAAAAAAAAAATTTTTTAAAAAATTTTTTTTTTTTTTTTTTTTTTTTTTTTTTTTTTTTTTTTTTTTTTTTTTTTTTTTTTTTTTTTCTTTCTTTCAGGATTTAGTTTTTCTTTTTTTAGAGTAAACAAACAATAAATAAATAAATAAATAAATATTTTAAAAAGTGAAAAAAAAGTAAATATATATATATAACATTAAAAGAAAAAATTTTATTTATAAAAAATGATCTAAACAATAAAAAAAAAAAACTCTTAGCAGAGAGTTAACCTCACAACCCAACTCATTTAGAGAAAACTTCAATTTAAAATATTTAAAAGAATTTAAAGGGAAAAAAATGATTAAAATATTAAAAGATGATATATCATGTAACCTCAAAGTTAAAAAAAAAAAAAAAAATTTCTATATAATATTTTATTTCTGGCTTTAAAGTCACTTAATAATATCACTAAATAATAAACCTTGCAAACTTTATAATAGGCTATATTATTAGAGAGTTCTTAAAACTTTGAGAGTTTAATCTATCCGATGAGAATCCTAAAAACCAAGGCTTGTTCGACTATATGTATATGAGCAGGTCTGTGAGGAGATCTGAGAGAGAAAGTATGCGAGAAGGTCCGTGAGGAGACAAATTTTATTTATTAATTTATCACAAAACATTTAATTTAAAACCAATTTAGTGTTACGAAAGAAAAACTGGGATTTCTTTTATATCACCAATAATACTATACTAAATATTGTAATACAAGAATACAAGTAATTCAATTGTTTTAGATTAAATCACTCTATTCAGATTAAAATCCTAAATTATATTAAGTTTGTCGTCAAAAAAAATTATTATTTAAATAATACATAATTAATTGTCTCATCTCTTTCACATATACATATATATACATATCTCAGATATATATATGATATATATAACTATACTTAGTTACTCTTGTTCAGTATATATATTCCTTTTTCTTTTCTTTTCATATATAGTTTACTTGTTCTACGAAACGTTCAAGAACTAGTAAAAAGATTGGGAGTTCACAAAAAAAAAAAAACTATTTTTTTTTTTTACTTTTGTCGATTTGAGGTGGTGACAAATCCAAAGAAATAAAAAATTAATAATCATAACCATATAGAAATTACAAAAAATTATCTTAGTAATAAAAATAATAATAATATAAATAATATCATAAATAATGGCTGTCGAACTCTCTCCAAATCAACTTGCCTTTCATCGTAAGTATTTCCCCCGTATTTTTAACGATGGCTTAGATGTATTTTTGAAAATCATTTTATATTTATGTATCTTACATACATATATAAAAGTTCAATTATTTTCTTTACCCAATAATATTCAAGCTCTTTGAAGTGTTTGAAGTGAATTATTATAAATTTTATAATAATTAACTTTATTATTATCTTTATTATTAACTTTATTATTACTTTTATTATTAACTTTATTATTACCTTTATTATTACCTTCTTTATTACCTTTATTATTACCTTTATTATTACCTTTATTATTACCTTTATTATTACCTTTATTATTATTATATTTATTATAAGACCAAATCAATTAATTAATGTATCAAATCAAATCAAATCAATTTTTTTTTTATTAATTAATTAATTAATTAATTAAAAAAAAAAAAATTAAAATTAAAAGGTCCCTTTACACAAGTCGTTAAAGAAACTCTTATTGTTCAAAATCCTAATCGTGAACCGGTAGCTTTCAAGGTTAAAACCACTGCCCCTAAACAATATTGTGTACGACCTAATTCAGGTAGAATTGAATCTAATCAGAGCGTTGAAGTTCAAGGTATTAAATATTAAGAAATTATAATAAATAAATTATCAATTATATATATATATATATATATTCGTAATTATTATTTTTTTTTTTCGTGTTAATGAATTAATATATTTTGATTTCCAAATTAGTCATTCTTCAACCTATGAAAGAAGACCTACCCCCAGATTATAAATGTAAAGATAAGTTTTTGGTACAAAGTGTAGCCATTACACCAGAGCGAGAAAATTTAAGTTTACAAGAATTGGTAATTAAGATAATAATTAGTATTATATATAATTAGATTATATAATATGTTTATTATAATATTTATTATAATATTTTTTTTTTTATATTAAAAAGTGGTCTATAACCGAAAAACAAGCAAAAGAAACTATCAAAGAAAATAAAATCCGATGTGTATACTCACCACCAGTTGCTCAAGTTCCTCAACAAATTTCTCAACAAATTCCAAATAATTTATCTCCCGCATCTCCTCCACCAAATTTGCCTTTACCACCTCAACCTTCTACTCGTTCAGTAGCAGATACATTGGTATTAGGAGGCGGCGGTGGTGGTGGAGGTGTTCATGGTAATATTTATTCAACAGCTGAATCAGACAAGGTAAATATTAAAAAATTTAAAATTTGATAATATGTCACATCATTTATTCAATATTCGATTCCTTGTAACAAACAATTAATTATCAGAGTGGTCTACCTTCCCCCCCACCACCGTACCCGTCATCAATTCTTGATAAGACAATCGTATCACATAATAATAATAATAATAATAACAATTATAATAATAATAATAATAATAATAAAATCGGTCAACCATCATCTTTTACGACGAATGGACATAATACAATTCAACAACAACCACAACAACTTACACCTCGTAAACATATTATTGGAGCATTTCCTAGTAGGGAAGATTCTTCTTCTTCCGCTTCTTCTTTGAATTATGATGAAGATCCAGCTAAATTAAGAAAACAATTACTTGAATCTCAAGAAGAAATTAAACGCCTTAGTCATACAATTGAAAATTATAAACAAGAATTAAATACATCTCAAATGAGACAGCGTAGAATTGACGATACCACCACTTCAACCGTAACAGCTTCAAACCGACATAGTGTACAAAGTATTGGATCTAATATTCAAGAAAGAATTCCGGAAGGATATTATCCATTTGAAGTAGTTGTAGGGGCGGCAGTTGGGGCTTTCTTATTTGGAGTCATGTTCTTTTAAAAAAAAAAAAAAAAAAGATTATATATTGATCAGAATTGATATCATTCACACCTTTTAGGTATTCTTCTTCTCTTCATCACAAGTGTTCCAATAATAATATTTTTATTTATTATTTTGTTTTTCTTAACATAAAACAATTATTTAATATAATATTACTTTTCCTTCTTTGCTATCATTATTATTATTTTATTTTTATTATTATTATTTACTATTATTTTCTATTATTATTATTTTATTTATTTTTCTTTGTTATTGACATTGTTCTCCTTTCTAGGTAGACTTGTTACGTTATTAATTGCTACCGTTAATTCGTTAATCCTCCAATCTTTTTTCGATTTATTCTCTCTCTCTCTCTCTCTCAAATTTATTCAATTCGATTTATTGCTTTTCCTAAAAAAAAAAAATTATAATATATACATATATATATATATATATATATTTGATGTTCAGTTTGCTTTTTCTTCTCTTCTCGTTTATTGTTCTTTTTTTTAAAAAAAATTCCGATTGTTCGTTTTTAAATAGTAATAGTAGTATTATTAACATTGTTGCAGTCTAATTTTACTTGCCTTTTTTTTTTGTGGCCATTCATTATTTGATTTCGTAGTTAAAATTGTTAAGTTTTTTATTATAATAACTTTTTAAAAAAAAAAATTGACTGTATTATGAATATATTCATACATTTATATATATATATATCTGCATATATCTATCTTTAATTGTTTCCTACTTATTATTTTTATTATTTAAATCTTATGCAATGAAATTAATTAAAATTGATTTTTAATAAAAATGGGAACAATATATATATATATATATATATATATATATATGTAGAGTATATAAAATTATTCTTTTTGTTTTTTATTCTTTTAAATAATTAATCACTCACGGAAGTAAAAAAAAAAATAAATCTCTCTTTGATTGATTGATTAATTTACGTTTATTACATTTATTACACATATAAAATATAAATTATATATAAAATAAATAAAAATCTACATTTCCTATTACACATTCACGTGTACCAATAACTTAATTAACTTACTGTATCTAATTTATAATAATGAAAAAAAATATAAAGATAGATATATATATATATATATGTATAATTTTTTAAAAAAAAAAGTTATATTGAAGATGGTTATAAACAAAATGCAATATTCTTATCAGATTATCTCCTTTTCACTGTTGAGAAGGTACAAAAGAATTGATAGAAGAGACTGAATATGTTCGACGTGAAGTATGATTAGGCCTTTCTCTCTCAGTAAGCTAAAAATTACATAGATGATAAAAATTATTAATATAATGAATAAAATAAAATATAATGAATAAATAAATAAATGTAATAAATAAATAATCTTACGGGTAAAGAAATAAATGCCTTCAATTCGCCTACAAACAAAACAAACCAAAACAAACCAAAACAAAAAAAAAAAAAAAAAAAGTTTAAAATTAATAAATTAATTATTCAATCTTTTTCAATCATTTTTTATAATAATAGAATGAATTAAATCAGCTATAAAAATTTGGCAATAAAACTTTTATCTTCAATGAAAATTTCTCGGAACAGGTCTGATATAATTTTTATTATCATCACATTATTCATAAACGTATTATATAAAATAATAGAATATAAAAATACATGTATATATATAACGTAGATATTTACCAATTTTGTCATCCGGCAATTTTGAGAATTGAATTGGATTCGAATCATTTTGATTGTCATATAAAACAGTTTCTGAGGTTGATAACTTTGAACATTGTTTGGCCATATTTTCAAATTGTTTGGGATTCTCTTTGTATCTAATAATAATAATAATATAATTATTATTATTATTATATTATTATTAATATTAATATATTTATTAATAATATATTATCATTGTTGTTGCTTGTAATACTCACGTGGTAAAGGCTTTTTCATTTGGACAATGTTTCTTTGATAAATTATCCAAAACACCTTTCTTAAATGATTTCTTGAGATAATGAAGGATATGAAATATATAATATTTATGTGGTGCCCAATCTTTAAATTGTTGAGTTAACGAAAAATTCCCAGTTTCTGGATCAATAAGAGGATGAAATGGTACTTCATTGTTTATTAAATCCAAAATAAATTGAACTCCTGGTGGTCTTTCTGGATAAGTAATAATATCATATCATATTTATTATTGAATGTTAAGATGAATATATTATTATAATTATTATTATATATATGTATATTCAATAAATAAAAATAAAGAAAAGGATATTCATTAGGAATATTCAATTTGAATTTAAATACACCATTTTTGTAGTATCCTTTATGAACAAACAAAACACCATACCAAGCTAAAAAAAAAATAAATTTTTTCGTAATGATTAAATGATTTAAGATGCTTTAAATTTATCTAATATTATATTTCTCTTACTATAGAAATTATCGGAAGGCATAACATATACACCACTTGGACAATGTTTCGGGTTACGAAGATTTGTACTTTAAAAAAAAATAATACGAATAAATGTTATAATTATTATTCTTTTATTATCAAAAATAAAATATTATACTTTATTGAAATCCTTCAATCGGAACAAGTTTACAAATTTCAAATATATATATATATATATATATATATACATAAAAAATAATATAAAACAAGTATAAACATATATATATGATAAATATATATATTTTTATACATACAATTCAATCATTAATTCCATTTTTCTAAAACATTCATCTTTGAATAGTGGTTTTGGATATCTTTCACCATCATACCCACCACGTTCGTCATTACCTTCATCGTCTCGTTGATTATTTTTTAAACCTGAACCACTTAAACGATAAAAAGATGTAGTTGTCTGCATTTTTTTTTCCGATTTTTTCATTTAGTGTAAGCTTTCCTTCCTTATATATACAGAATCAATTATCATCTGAATATCAGAAAATCATATGACTAGTTATATGCATATTTTAAAAATTGTTCATTTTAAAATATTTCACACCACATAAAAGTAATTACTAAATAATTAAGTAATCGTAAAATGTAACCTATAATAAAAAACAAGCGTAATTCAATTTATAAAAAAAGATAATAAACTTCTTTACACATTTTTAAGTAAACGAATGCAATCAAAAATATCCTGATTATTGGGATATATGCCAACCATGCTACTCCGAACATTTCAAAAATGATTTTGATAAATAGACAAGTGGAAATGACACAATAGATAAATTAATTCAAGATACCCATTTAAATGCTAATGATAATTATAAAGTAATAGAATGAATACCTTATGATAAATTAGAATATATTAAACAAATAGCAAAAGGTGGTTTTGGAACAATACATTTAGCTAGTTGGATTAATGGAGAAATTATTAATTGGGATATCGAAAAACGACAATGGAAAAGAAATGGTTAACGTGAAGTGTTATTAAAAAAGTTTGATAATTTTACAAGTTTAAATGATGATTTCTTAAATGAGTTAAAATATTTTTAATTAATCTACAAATTTGTATTCCAGATTTTATAATCAATTAAAAAGAAATATATATATTATTTAGATGTCTCTTCACTTAAAAAGTGGGTTTTCTTCAATTGAATTTTATGGAATTACGCAAGATCCAGAAACTCAGAAATATATGATGGTTTTAGATTATGCTAATGATGGAAATCTTAGAGATTATTTAAAAAAATTTATTTAATAATATTAATTGGAAAAATAAATTAGATTATTTAAAAGAATTAGTTGATAATTTTAAAAAAAAATTCATGAATTGGATATAGTACACCAGGATTTTCATCCTGGGAATATTTTATCATATAGTTTTATGAATTCTTCTTCATATTTATATGTTACAGATTTTGGATTAAGTAAATTAATAGGGCCAAATCCTGAAAAAAATAAAATTTTTAGAGTATTTCCTTATGTAGCTCCAGAAGTATTATCAGGTGAAGAGTATACAAAGGCAGCTGATGTATATTCATTTGGAATTATAACTTACGAAATAATTACAGGGATTCCTCCATATCATGATATACCATATAATAAAGATTTAGCAATTCCATTTTATACTCCGAAATTAATTACACGAATGATTATGAGATGTTGGGATGCTCGAATTACTCATCGACCAACTTTTGTAGAATTTTATAAAGATTTGCGTTATTACCATTGGAATTATGTGAAAAACAAGAATTCTGAAATTGTAATTCAATTTAAAAAAGCAGAAGAATTTTCTCCATCAACCAATACAATCACCACCACAACTCCACTTGATTATAAAACACATCCACAAGCAATTTATACTAGTCGACTTCTCAATTTTTCAAGTCTTCCAAAACCCAAAAATGATGAAAATTTTGAAAAAGAACTTGAAGAATTAACTAAATCTGTTTCTGATTTAAGTACTAGTAAATATAAATTATATTTTTTATTATAATATATTTATTTTTTTTCTTATTTAATTATATTAATTCATTTCATTTATTTCTATTTTATTTTAGCCGATTCCGGAGTGATCGATTTGGATATGTCTAATTTTTAAGTTATAATAATATTTTATTTATTATTATAGTTCAACACTAATTATAAAGTAACATTATCTTGTAATTGAGGATTTTTCTTACAAATAAAATTATTTAAATTTTTTTTTTTATTTACAATATTTAATGTATTTATTTGATATATCCAATATATGATTAATTTTCAATCTAATAATAATTATTACAAATAATTTTTCTATCGAATCTTTTTTTTTTTTTTAAATATCAAGACTAAAATATAAGAGGGGGTTAAAGATTTTCTCAAAATAAACACGAGATCTAAATAAATCTGCTAACTTCAATTATTTCAATTATCTGTTAATTTTTTTATGATATGAAAATTGATTATAATTCACGATTTACAGTAAAATAATGTATAGATTTTTAAAAGAAACAATTGAAGTTTATTTTCCCGGGACAATTAACTTTATAAATGATGATTGGAATTTATAATGTACAAATTGCATGACTGATGTTCTCATTAATTGGTAACTAGTGTTTTGACCCTATTTCAAAATACAATCTGGATTATAAATCCTAATCCTTAAATATTTATGATGGATCCTTATTTTTTAGAATTTAAGATCTATCCACACCATTTCCAAGGACTTGATGGATATAGTAGGGGCCTTCCCACTTTTCTTCTAGTTTGTGACTCCAAGTTTTCTCAAGGGCAGATCTATACAGTAAAACTAGGTCCCCAATGCTGTAGGTCTCAATGGAGGCTTTGGCCTGGTGCTGGAGCTGCTGTTTTGATTGACTTTTGGCAATTCTATCTTGAGCTTAGTTTCTAGCTTCTAGCTTCTTGAAGGTCTCCTATGACTTGTTCCATCCTTCTGAGCAAAGATCCTTGATGGTCTATAGTATCTGCAGGCTCCAAAGGGTAAGTGGTTATTTCTGTTTCTATGGATAATAATGCTTCTCTTCCATACAAAAGAAAGAATGGCTTATGCTGGGTTGTATTCTGCTGACTGGTCTGGTATGCAAACAATGCAGCCGGAATGAACAAATTCCAGTTTTCATTGAATTGACTATAGTATTTAGACTATACAGTGGGGTATCAAAAGTCATGGGGCAAACAAAAATTAATAAAAAAATTACTAAAATTAAAATGCTAATTGTGAC